TGAATTAACATTTAAATGGCTTCAAGCAGTTAAAGGTAGTCACAAGTTCAACTCAATTTCGATATTTAATTACCTAAGAAATTATAATTAATTATGGATGAAACCAAGGCATTTTATTAGTATCCAAATGTCCAGCATTGCTGGAACTGGTTCGAATCCCAAGGTTTTAAGATGTTACTAGAATCAACGAAAGGAATAATGATTATTTTCTTAGTATATGCTATGAAAAAGGTCGAGAAACGATAACTGAGTGCTATCTGAAATCTGCAGAATAGAGCAAATTCGGCAGGTGGTTCTTGCTATAAGAAAGAAAGTCTATTCGTGATGCTTTAGCTAGTGTATATTTCGTAAATAATGTAGTAAAAAGTTGTAGCATTTTACAAAACTCGGAAAAAATATTTGAACACGCGTCGTAAAAATATAAATATTCTGAAGATACTTCGAGAATATTCTATAATATTCACATTGTATGTATATCGATGAATAAATCAATAATTTGATTATCACTATTTTTTAAACAATTCTACAAATTCAATTAATATGTCCGACAGCAGTGATAACGAAAACTCACCCGAACTTACCGAGCAAGAAAAGGCTGCAAGAGCTAAAGAGGAAGCAGAGCAAGCTGGTACCCTTCGTAATATATAAGTTCAAGTTGTTCTATTTTCTACATATGCGACCTTTATTAATGAACAACTCCAAAACCTTTAAATAATCAATTTTCGGTTTATTTGGACAACTTATGGACAGCCTTGCCTTATCGCTGGAAACAAACCCTACAGGATGTTGATGTCACGATACCGGTGACTCCAGGTACACGGGGTCGTGACTTGAACGTTGTCATAAAAAGGAACCACTTGACAGTTGGGTTAAAAGGAAAGCCACCTATTATGGACGTAAGTTAAAAATGGATTTGGATAGTTGAGAGTCTTTAATCTGTCTTTGGGATTAGGATTGTGATTTAGTCTTTTCGACGGATCTAGGAACCTCTAATTAGTAATAAATTAGATTAGTAGGATATCCCGAGAAGTCGATTTGTTAGAAATTTAACAAATATTTATTTTTTAATTTATAAACAGGGAGAATTATGTAAGGAAATAAAAGTCGACGATAGTACATGGACTCTTGGTATGATTTGTTTATGACTATTCAGTATTGGAATTATTATTTCGAAATTTAACTATTAACATTCTTAATCGATATAAAAAATCAATGCCATGATGAAATAATCAAGATTCTCAGAAGGAAATAAATATTCATCTGGAGAAGATCCATGGCACTGAATGGTGGCGTAACGTGATATCCACAGATCCAGCCATCGACACTACAAAGATTCAACCAGAAAATTCAAAATTGAGTGATTTGGATGGAGAGACCCGTGCGATGGTTGAAAAAATGATGGTATGTGTTATTTATATAATTACGTATTTTATTGAATGAACTATGTTAATTGTGAAGAATAAATTTAATTGATAATGTTAGTTTGATCAACGTCAAAAACAACTCGGCAAAAAAACTTCCGAGGAACTACAAAAAGAAGATCTTCTGCAAAAGTTTCAAGCGCAACATCCGGAACTTGATTTCACGAATGCTAAAATTTCTTGATCCTTCACTGGCTTTTCTTTGTTCCAATAATTTTTAATTTTTAATTTACGAGTGCATCGAGTTTAATATTATGGCATAAATTATTATTATTAACGAATCGATCGATTTTTTAAATTATAATGGCAATTGTGTTCAAGAGGACGCTCCAAATGATATAATAAATACATAGATGTATTGAAATAATCTTTTCTGATTGGATTATGCAATAATTCTAGCTCTACATATTTAGTTTAGGTTTATCGTAATTTGTATGTACCATGTATAAGCAACTCGTGACAAATAGATATTTACATATAAATTCAAAAAAATTACTAAAAAAAAGGCAATGTCACAGGTTGCTTATACACGATAAATAATCAACCGATGAAGACATAATTTAGAAGAATTAGTTGCACTTAAACCTAATTCTAAGAATAGTCTTAGAATTAAAAATACGATTTATCAATTTCTCTTGTTTTCTATGTAGGGGTTTGTTGGATTACACACATAACGATAATTAGGATTAAAACAATTTTTTCATTTGACATGAATGTGTGCGTGTACTACTTAATAAAAAAGATTTTCAATGTATGGCTATTAGATCTTGGTTAAATATGTCAATCAATGGAAATAACTTGAAACGAGAAAAGGGTTCGCTATATTTATTTGTTTTGATGTAAGGGATGATGATGATATCAATCGAGATTTTTCTGGTTATAATGTAGAAGAAAAAAGCCGCCAATTTTTTTTTAAAAAAAAAACGTGCACATATTAATTGATTGAGATGAAACCTAATACAAACTTTTCTAACAGGTAATATCGATATTAAAATATATATCTTTGCAGCCATTATACTTGAATCTATCTACCCGCGTGAAATTACTTTAACCGGGAAACAAAGAAAAATATAACGAAAAAAACGTGATGATTAAATTTGTAATAACATTAATTACATTTTAGAATCGAATGTTATTACTACCGTTAGTATTACAAAAGTTTATTTCCGTTCCTTTTCGTTTCAGGTTACGTGAAAAAAAATTCTAAATGAATCAGAGTGGGCGAGATGCGACAAGGAGATTTCATATACAAATATGTAATTACGTTTTATAAACTAGTTTTTTTATTTGGAAATATTGAACATTAGGCTGGTCTATGTGTAGCTTACTCTATTGACATATAATGAATGAATGAGAATGAAGGCTTCTGAAAAACTAGCCTCATCTACGCCTTTAATGACTGAAATTAATATACGTTCGTTTTCTAAACTCACGAAATTACATTATTTTACAATTATCCTTAACTTCTATTGCTGCTTGTTTAACTTCCGAAATTCCTGTATCTATTGCATCACCAGTTTGGGTAATTCTATATCCTTTTCTTCATTATTCATCGTAATTTCCCAAGTATTTCGGATTAATATAATCAAATACGATATTGCATACGTATTGCCATTATCTAATTGCAATTTCAACTGTTTTCTTTTTTTTCGTGCACCTTTTTTCTATCGGATAATTCTAAACTCCAGCAAAATAAAATTTTGATTTACACAATTTTCTTATTCATAAAGAAGCAAGCTAAAAACCAAAGCATATCAAAAATGCGTTTTGTTGATGTATATCAATTATTTGGAATTATAATCTAAAATAACGATAATGGTATTATAGAGGATAAATCGATAACTAATAAATTACAATAAGCTATACTGATACCGATCATCAATGCGCAGGAATTACACAAAGCGCAAGTAAAAAAAAAAATAAATGGCCGATATTAATTGTATGACATCTTTGGGTTTCTACGTGTACATGCATACATGTATACATGCATGCGTAATTGTGTTAAAAGGAGAGATTTTCTTTACCTCCGAGCTAGTTGTAATTATTTGGATTGGAAACGAAAAAACAAAGAAAACATCCTTTTTTGTTGGATTCTGGTTGTTGGTAAATCTATAACCATATATCTACCATTTATCATGTGCAAATGGGTGCAATTACCAATGAAACTATTCGGATATTTTTTAACGCGGGGAACGTTTCTTTGTACCAAAAACCAGTTGATAATTTACGTTAATGTAAATACGTAATCATATTTACGTTCAATCTTTGGTAACAGTTTCTTAAACTAATACCCATATCTTTAATAAAGTGTGGAAAGATGACGACAATGATAATATAATGGGCAGAAAAAATATGTACATGTGCACACAAGAAACTCGTTACATTTCTTTATCTCCGAACCCACCAAACGAAATAAAGTAATTAGGATTTTTGTGAATTTTATATGTTTTGGTAGTTGTTTTATTCATTTTGTTCTGCGCATATTTTTTTTAAAATTAACTTTCCAATATTATCACGAAAATATCGCTATCTATTAGTGCTTGCTACAATATACACTAGTTTTTGCTATTTTTTGGGTTGTAGTCGTAGTGTGTGATACTAGAAATCATCGCCACCGACAAAATAAAGAAAAAGACGGCACCTATTTTTACAAACCAGGAAAACAAAATTCGATTTTTAATAAACATTTAATTTAGTTATGAAAAATTAATGGATAAGATTAGTAATACTAGTTTAACCCTTATATATTACTTTATATTATAGGTATTAACTACTGTCTCAACTGATAAAGAAAACAAAAGAGACGTGTGTCGTGTGTGTGTACGTTTATGCGTACATTATAACAGAAACTCTTTGTTTTTCAAATATCGTAAAGAACAACGATATATTTACTATGAATTAGCGAAATTGGGTAACAATGTGGAATCGTTCACGCTAAATATATCGATGTACTATCCCGTCTGCCATTGTATAAACTTTAAAGGAATATCTATATACAAAAAAAGAAATCTTCGCATCCCCCGATACACAGACGCATCTGCCGTTCATTATTAATTAATATGGAAAATCAGGATTTTTGTCACATATATTTTAATTAAAGAAAAAATATTTTTTTAAAATAAGCAAATAAATAAATAAAATAAAATCTATCGTATATTAATGCTCTGCGTTTACCTTCTCTCTTGCTTTTTCTTATACTCTTCATTTGATTGAGCAAATATCATCGCCATCACAATTTCACATCTTCATTTATCCTCCTTTTTCATTTGTTTTGTGTGTATCCGTCCGTTCATTGTTATTAATTTTTTTCGTTATTAATTTATTCTTTTTGTTGTTCTTTTTCGTAACTGTTAAATTAACTACATAAAATAAAACACCACTGGTCGTTGACTCGACTTTGTACTTAATAACGAACAAAAAAATATAAAATTGCATTCCTTCTGTTTAGCACTTAGGAGTTTTTTTTTTCGCTCTCTTTTCATTCCCATTACATCGTTGACACATTACTATCGCGCAGCACTTGATCATTGTAAATAATAGCACATAAAATACGTTTTATGACGATTTAATCAGAAAAAAATGGCCGACTACATATTCACAGTTTTTTCAATACTCGCCGTAATCTTTGCTCTAATTCCAAGCCCAATTCACATACAAAATCAAAACTGGGGTGCAATATTCATGACATTCTGGGTGGTGATCACAAACTTCACGAACTTTGTCAACTCGATAATCTGGGCAAACACCATCTACGATGACAAGCCATACACGGAATACTGGTGTCGTATAACGACCGTGTTGTATCTTGCGTCGGGTTATGGTTTGGTATTATCGATCGTGTGTATGGTTTATACGTTGTCCACGTATGTCAGAAATGCGATCATTTTATCCGAGCATGAGAAGCGGAGACAAGTGATTACAAGTTTCTTCATTTGCATCGTATTACCGTTCGTATTTCAAATTATATACTATGTCACCGTTCAGAATCACAAGTATAGTATTAGGTTATTGTTGGGTTGCTATGCACCGTCTTATCCCACTTTGGCGACTGTTTTCGTTAATCTTATGTGGCCGTTGATTTTTTCGTTATTCGGTGCTTATTATGCAGGTAATAATAATAAATTCATTCGGTCAGTCAGTCATATCGTATAATATACGATACTAATTACATCATGTTCATGAAAAATAGTATTAACAGGATACCACATTGTACGGAAGCAGTTAGAACTCCAACAACTGCTTCGATTGAAAAAAACCAGCAAATCAAAATTCTACCGTTTGGTTTTCTTTTGCGTCACATTACTACTGCTGATGTTACCCGCGTCAGCTTACATGCTTGTCTTGAACGCAAAGCAAAAATTATACCCATACGACTACAAAATGATCAAAGAAAACTTTGGCATCATCACCACAAACCATGTTGCGCCGTTCACGCTGTTTGAATATTTCAAGCCGCTGACTGCATTCGCGTTATTTATCTTTTTCGGGAATGGCGAAGATGCAAATGCGCAGTACGCGAAATGGGGTAAAGCCATGGGATTGGATAAAGTTTTTGGTTGTTGCTTTAGTCATAATAGTGGAAATAAGAAGTCAACGAAATTGTAAGTATTCTTTTCTTATTAAATAATAATCAATCAATTCCTAATAATAATTATATTACAATCTTAATATCTAGCCCTTCATCACCTACATCAACCTTCCCATTAAGTTACCACTCCTCAGCTTTTGACGGTAGCTCTCCAGCACTCATCAACAAAGACGCGGGAACACCACGCACAAATAAAGACGAAAAATACTTGGCAACCAATTCCGAGTTATCAGATGACACATCATTCACATCAAGCGAAGTCTCAGTTCAAGTACAAACACCAATAAAGAAAAAGGGCGTCTTGAGAAATTTCTTATATATGCATCGAACACCGACTGAACAATCTAAATACGACTTAACAAGTGGCATACAGATACGAATCAATGGTCTATCGTCCGCATTCGACATTAATGAGAATAATATTAAAGAAGAGGGCGAACAAGACACAAAATTAGAAGAGAAACAAGCCCCACGATATCAATCAACAGAAAGTTATCACCGCGAGATACAAAATGCCATTGTTGACATTTACGATCAAGAAGAAAAAGAACTAGACAATGATCAAGTAAGCATCGTAATTGATGATGGAAATAGTAATACACCGATTACAATACCATCCACGTCGATAACACGTGAAAGTTATTTATCGCCACAAGTTAATATTGTCGATACTGATACTTTTATCGCAAGAGGAATTGATGATGTTGTCGAAGAGTATCGAAGAATGGTGTCTCCAGAGCCGTCGTCAAAAGGATCCAATTAATTGAACAATTATTTTTAATTTAATTATTTATTTCCATTGTAGCATATACACACAAAAAATACACTTCATTATTTATAGCAATGTACAAATAATAGCATTATTCATTTCTGTATACAATTTCGATTTTTGCAATTAGCCACAAAAAAATCGCATTTCTTTAGCATTTTTATACATCATTTTTTTGCATTTACAATTTTACACTTTCCCCTCTTCCTTCTTATTTATTCGCGAAACTTTTCATTCTTCGACATACATGTAATATAAGACAACATAAAACATAAATCAATAAAATACTAGATTAATTAGCAATATCAATGATATTTTCTGTTTACAGTCAAAGTCCTTTACAACAGCCGCATTGGATGGCACTTTTTTGAGCCGGTATATAGTGCTTGTATTATAAACTTTGGTATATAGGGAGTTTTTAAATATTTAAAAATCGTAAAAATGAATCCGATGTATACAGCGCCGTTGTAAAGGACTTTGACCGTATATCTCCCATATTTCGTTGAGAAATCTTCCGGGGCAACGTTCGATATCAACATTGTCACTCTCCTTGAAAAACTTGTTCGACATTGATCAATTGAGAGATGACAAATAAAGAGATGTTAGAGTAAGTTCATGCGCGGACGGCAGCGAGAAAGAACCGACTTCCTTTAATTTTAAATTTAACCATATTGCTTCTTGAAAATGGCTCAAGTGATTTAATAATTTTTAATCCATGAACTATACAAATTATTATTTCGCTCTGTAAATACAATAATTACAATTAATAATGGTGTGAGGAAAGTAAAATGGTGCTTTGGGTCAAATGCGACCACATCATCTAAAAATCGAAAAAAGCGTATATACGAAAAGAAAGTGAATAACACGATATTAATAATATTCTAACAGAAAATTATTAGCAAAGATGGCATTATTGGTGTTAATTATACAAAAGTTTTACGGGGTCGTCTATTAATATTTGATTTTTTTTCAGCCAAATAACGAATATGTTTTTCCCTATTATTATTATTATTAGGATTATTATTATTAGGATTTAAGGCCTCCAGCCTTTGTTCAAATCGACGGAGTGGTTGTGGTTGTTGCTGCCGTTCCTGTCGTTCTTTTGGTACAGAAAAAGATTTATCACTCTTAATTGATGGTGATGGAGTTGACGATGATGTTGATGGAGTTGACGATGATGTTGATGGTGATGGTATTGTTCTTAGTGGAGATGATTGGGATGATGATGATGATGATGATGATGATGATGATGATGTTGATGATGATGATGTTGATGATGATAATGGTGATGATGATGTTGATGTTGTTGATGATGATAATGGTGGAGATTCACGTGATTCACTTGTAGGACCAGTTGATTTTCCTTCGAAAACCATCTCCTTGACTTTTCCAGTTTGTGTCTCGCCAAGATCGACTCCTCCACGAGGTCTTACTCTTGTGAATCTGATAGTATGCAGTGATTGCAAAATTAAATTTTCTAATTGTTTCTTTATACCTTCTGCAGCCTCAACAGATGAAAATGATCCTGGATATCTGAAACTGGATAATTTCAAGTATAATTTTAATGTTAATCAAAAAAATATATTCACCATTTTTCAATCGAGAAAAAAGAATTCTACCTTAACCACATATATAACATTACGACTCGGTGAGCCGATTCTAGTTCCTTTAATCTTTCGTTTGTCGTGGCATGTGACTCAGGAACTCGGACTAAACTTTCCAGTAGGCATACTTCTTGTTTGCTGTACATCGTAGCGAACTGATGTCAAAGCAGGAAAAAACAGGTTAATAAAGAAAAAACATTACGAATGTGAAAATTATAGATAAACGAACCTTGTTCAAATAAGCCATTACTAATGGATCTGTGGTATTTGTTGGGGCCGTTGAAAAAGTATATCGATCTGGTATGTCCAGTGGAAGATTCTCAATCATATCTGCAATAAGCTTTACAAATTCATTGGCGAAAAATTATCAAATAATGAAAATTAACTATGAATAAAAAAAAGTCAATCTTTTTTTAAAAAAATTAAATGCCTTTAGATCACTCCAGTTACACAAAAAATATAAACCGTCCACGCGAGATAACAATTCAAATTTACCCTAAAAAGGATCAAAAAATAAAAATTACTTTTCATCAACTGCATCACAATTTTTTTCGATTTCAATCTTACCAATAATTCGGAAAAACTGTGAGGCGTTGTGAGTTGATGAGAAAAAAGATCTACTTGTTCTACTTTTGGTTGTAATCCTGCCATCTATAAGTATATATATAAAATTACTATGTCTTTAATTTTATAAATAACAATCAAAATTATGGTTTACCAACCTCTAAATTTTGGATTGGTGCCGTCATCGCTTTATGCAAATATTTGAGATCATCATATACTAACGTGGTAACTTCACCCGCATTATTCGTAGTAGAAAATCGACCAGCACGCCCAGCAATTTGTTTAATAAATGGAAACGGTATAGGAGATAACTTTCTCCCATCCCATTTTTGGACTGTTTCAAAAACAATACGTTTGATATTTCTGACATTTTAAATTGAAAAATTTTAACAAAAACATAACGCATTTCCTTCTACATAAAAATATATTCTAATTCTAATTCTCACAGATTTAAGCCCATTCCTACAGCATCACTTGCAACAAGAACATCATAGCCACTATCAGGATCATTAAATAATCTTGCTTGCATAGACCTCGTTTCTGTCATCCAAAAAGAACAAACACATTAATAAAATTTCTTATCATAAAATCCGAATATATAATTAGTTACCGGGAGGTAATCCTCCATAAGCGACCGCACATCTATATCCAGTTTCTTTTTCAATTTCCTGTTTCACAGCAAAAATATTCTTTCTAGAAAAAGTGACCACACAATCTCCTTTTCGAATATTTCTAAAACTTCCATTTAGCGAGTACCCTGCTACTGTCAATGGAGTAAGACGTTCATATGCTCGAACTTCGACATCCTCATTGAATGTAGCACATATGGATTTTATCAAGGGTACAGCGGAAGCTTCTCCACATAGATGAATTTCTTTCGCTTGTAAGCCTAAATAATTATCCATGAATATATTAAATAATCCAGGAGAAACTCTTTCTTTCTCTGGTAATATTACTCCTTATATTAATTACCCAGCAAAGCTTGTGTCCAAGCCCAACCACGTGCTTGATCTGAAATCATTTGAATTTCATCAACTACTGCAACATCCATTTCTTTAGTTAGATTCGCCATCTCTACAGTTGATGATGTCAACGGAACTTCACCGGGCATTTCACGCCTTTCTTCTCCAGTGATTAAATTACAAGGGATTCCTTTCTGATTCATTCTTTCAAAGATTTCATGAGCAAGTAGACGTAAAGGACCGCAGTATATGCCTGAAGCTGCTCCTTCTAATCGTTTGAGAGCATGATATGTTTTTCCGGAATTTGTAGGCCCAACATGCATTATTATTTTCCTAATTTCCATCAAATCGACAATTAATTTATAATACATATTAATTATAATAGGAAATAATAGGAAGATACCGTTGCATTGCTCTGGCAGCAGGATGCCAATCCGCGGGATATCGCAAGTCACTAAGCTGCCGTAATGAACTAAATGCTTCTAATTGATCACCCTCAAGATAATTTTGAGAAAACTCATAAAACGCGGACATCAACACTTTATCAATCCCATCTATCATATGTAACGACACATAAAAATCAAACCAATTATTGAAAACACCAATACCTTACGTCAATGCAGTATAACTTTAGCGGATAACTGACCTACCCCATTTTCTTCAAAGGCTGTTCTCATAGTTGATATCTCACAACGCTCAATTCTTCCATTATGAACAGCATTAATGAAATCCTCCACAGCTTTACGAAAATTTTTTCCTCGTAGTTTCATTTCAGAAGCTCTTTGTTTAACCTCAGTCGAACTTTGGAACTGTTTTAAGCGCTCACCCAAAAGACTATCTGACCATTTTTCTTGTCTCCCAAGGCCTCTTAACCCAAATCTATCCCAGTTTATCATATTCCCCCCCATTCTCGATAGATTTTCACTTGTAGAGAACGCGGATAGAAGCGGAGTTCTACTAATTCTTATCCATGAAGGAACTCTGTTCGACTGAAGCTTAGATGGACTTGACGCAAAATGATATGCTCTGACAATGTCTCGAAACACTCGAGTATTAGTTTTATAGCCAGCATGTTTATAGAAGAGCATTTGGTTTTATCGATAAAGTAAAAATTTACGCTTGATCATTTTTTATTTATGACTCATCGATTTACACCCAGCTAAAGCCTGGTCCATCCGATAATCAGTCCGAAACATCCAGGTAGTGTGGCTTAACGGGTCTTCTAAATAAACCAATAAAAATGCATAAATTTTTATCAACCCGGCAAAACAAATCCGACACAAGAAAATTAAAAAAGCGAATAATGTGAAAAATACAGAAAACGCACTAAAACTAACACAGGATCCTGCAATTAGATTGGTCGAATTTGTTGACCTTGCAATTTGATTGGTCAATCATACACGTGACTATCTGGCTTTAACGGATCCCCAATAAGAATGTGTGAATTTTTGATTAGCACGAACAAAAAATATGATCTCTAGCCCTAATTAGGAGTGTGAACATATTGTAAGATCAGAGTTGCAACTCTAATACGATATGTGCGAGTTGTATAAGTTGTATAAGTTGTATTTCGAATATGACAATTCAACAGTTGCAACCCTAATATGTCATAAGCGAGTTATAATTAGAGTTGCAACCTTTACAATAAGTCTGCACCCCTAGCTCTGACTCTAATCCTAAACTTAAAATCAATCTTTATATAATCACGATGTATTATGTAAATCAAAACTATGTGGTATCATAGAAAGTCTATTATTAAAGATTTTTAAGTGATTAATATGTTTTTATATAAAATTGGGATGCACTTTTTTAGATTGTACAGGTTGCAATTTTTTTAGTCAAAAGTTTAAACTATCTTCATTGTATTTTTACTTGGTTGACCGAATGAATTTTTAAGTTAATTTGTAGGTTTTTTTGGTTAAAATGTAAATTTCACTTTATATTTTCCTTCAAAATTTCATCTTGGGATTATGTATCATTAAGATTGTGCATTTAATTAAACCTAAAAAACATGTTACTGTTGATTAAACAGTTTAAACTTCATTGCTAAAGAAAACTATTAGAAGAATTAAAAGAAGTAAAAACAAATTGAAAAAAATCCCCACTTCAAGAAATATATTTATCACAATTTGAATCTGATATCACTTCAAATTTTATTATAATGCAAAACAACTTTTAGTATAATATTGCATTTTTTTATTTAGCAAAAAGAAAATTATTAATTAAAATTTAAAGCCATTATTTGAATTGGTTAGACTTAAATTACAATTTAATGAAAAGTTTTTTTAAAATATTTATTTATTAAAAAGTTATAAGAATTTAAACTTTATTGACTTTATATTGTTACCATTTTTATGGGTTCAAGTCATTTACGTTATCCACATGTTTTTATTAACTAAAAGATGAAAAAAACTAAGTTTTATAATATAAGAGACTAAAAATTATTATTAAAAGTAATTAATAAGTCTTTTAAGTGATTTTTTTTAAGTTAGATAGCAAATCGATTTACTATAAGTAATCTATCTTTTAAGATTAAAACCAATACAAAATATAACTTGAATTATTTTATAAATCATTTTCAAAGTTTATTAATAAGAAATTTATTCTAAACAAACTTAACTTAATTTTTAAACTATTAATTTTAACTTAAAGAAATCTAAACCTAAGAAATTTATCTAAATTACTAGCTAAATTATATTATTTAATGATTCTATAAATATTATTTTAGCTATAATTATTTTGCTACTTTTATTATGATTAATTTGTTATTTTTACTATAATTATTTTGCTATTTTTGCTGTGATTATTTTTTTATTTCATTATTTAAAAATATTAACAAATAAAATTCTATTTAGCTAATATATCCAATTAAATTATAATATAAATTAATTAATAAAATAAAAATTAAATATTTATATTATAACAATATCTAATTTGATTACTTAATTTTAGTCAATATTAAAAATAATATATTAAAGTTTGACTAATATTAAAATTAATATTATATTTGAATATTAAAATTTATTAATAAGTCAAAATTGAATTTTTATATTATATAATATTATTTTAATAATATTTGAATAAGAATAAAATGATTGAGAAATAAGAAATTGTAATATTATTTTTATAATAATATAAATTACAAATCAAAATTAAGTTTATTAACTAAAATTAAAGAAACTTATAATAATATAATCAGAATTAAGTTTATTCAAAAATTTATAATAAATATATTTTTGCAATAAATTAGAGAATAATTAGATATTTTAATTTGATTATATAATATAATAGTTATAAAATTATAAATTTTATACTATATATTAATAATTAAATATATTTATATTTTAATTAGAAAATATATTAAATATAAGTAGAATAATTATTTCTTTTTATAATTAAGATGATTTTTTAGAATATTATAAATATAAATAAAAAATTTAAATTAATATTTTCTTATAATATAAATCTAAAATACAAAAATTTTAAAGTTAATTATAACTTTTATTATTTATTTATTTATATATTATTAAAAATAATTTTCAGCTAAAATAATTTTTATTTATTTTTTTAGCTAAAACTTGTTTTTTAATAATATCTAAATAAATAATAAAAGTTTTTTTTAGTTTATAATTAACTTTAAAATTTTTATATTTTCAACTTTTTTAGATTTATATTATAAGAAAAATATTAATTTAAATTTTTTTATTTATATTTAAATTATTTTAAGAAAATTATTTTAATTATAAAAGAAATAATTATTATTATTTGTATTTAATATATTTTCTAATTATATTTATATATATACTATATTATATATTTGTAAATAAAATTAGTAATTATTATAATAATAATATATAAAAAATTTTTAATAATAGATTTTTATATAATATTATATATAGTTTTTATTTATATATAATTAATATTTCTATAAATTGAATTAAATCAAATTTTTATCTGAATTTAAATTAAATTCAAATTAGATTTTAACTTGAATTCAAGAAAAATTCAAAGTTTAAATCAGATTTAAATTGAATTATTATACAAATTTGAGTCTGATTCAAGTTTAATTTAATATTAGTATATAATATTAAATATAAATTTATAGTTCTAAATGTGAGTTATAATTTATAGTATTTATTAAGAATTAAAAATTTACTTAGTAACAACTAAAATATTTTTATTTTATATTTATAAATTTTATATAACTTTTTGAATATTTATTATTAATATTAATTAGTTTATTCCAATTTGTAATTTTTATTTTTGATTATAACTTTGCTTAAAATTATAATTTATACTTATTATTGAAAAATTAATATTTATTATAATATAAATAAATTAAATTAAAATTATAAATAATTAAAATTTTTTTAAATCTATATAATATTTGAATATTTATTTTAAATATTAATTAGTTATACTGTTATGATTTAGATTTTCACTAAATCATAAAGTCATGTGCCGTTAAAATCTTATATTTTTATTGGTTATATTTTATTTATATTTTATTGGATATTATTTTTAGTACGCTAAGTTACACATTACTTGGTAACATATTTAATGTTGCCTTGGTTACATTCGATGATGCCTATGCAACATCAATGTTAACTAGGTAGCTTGATGATGCCTATG